CCCCCCCGACGAATTTGTGGAGAGAATACTCGCGCATCGAGAGCTAATATACGGTCTGGTAACCAGGCTAGCCTAGGTGTCGGGACGGACAGCAATTTCACTAAATGTTGATCTCACTCTAGATGACTTACTATTGGTTTTTTAGCGCCTGTTCAAAAAATTATTAGCGCCTGTTCAAAAAAATTACTGTTCTTTTTGCTTATCGCGACAGTCGACAATGTCTAACAGGATATGTTGATGGCCTGATAAGTCAATTATGTGGAGAAAGTCTACCTGATCTGTATACCAGATTCATTGTAGAATGAATGACGACACGGCACATTTCTGCCACACCCGGCTAATTAATAAGTACAGGCCAGTTTACAACAAAACAGGGACAGGCATGGCTAACAGTTACAAAGTAGATGAATTAAACTTTTCCTCGCTTTTCAGTTAGTGGAGATAAAATAACGGATGTTTTTAGATAACAGGTTTGTCAAGTTGTACTAGGAATATGAATACGACTGTTGTGTCTATTATAGAGAAATCTTTTCCACAAGCAAAGTACAACGACATCCGTAAGGTATTTCGTACATCTATAGCTAAAAAGAAACTGGTTTTAATACAGTTAATTTACAGTAGCGGAAGAAAGATGGCTGATGCTGCCTGTAAGCTTCTCAAGTTGCTTGGATTAAATCACGTGTATCAGTTTTTCAACAAAGAGCCGACGACGTTTCGATGACTGTCATCTTCATCAGGATAGGATTTGTTCACTTTGCACTGAAGCTAGTTAGCAATGCAATCCCAATAGCAAGCCTAAAACAATTGGCATACATAGTGTTACATGCAGTGCCAAATATTGAAGTATTGCAATGTATAATGTATTGTTAGCCAAACATATTCTATAAGTCTTTGGAAAAATCAACTTTTAACCTTTTCCAGACGTGACCGACTGCTCTACGAACGAGTGTCAGAACGGAGGGGGCTGTACCACGTGTTTCGGCGGCGGAGTGGGCTCCGGACACATGTTCTGCGAGTGCGCAGCGGGATATACCGGAGACCTCTGTGAAACCGGTGAGCTGAACGTTTTTTATGCATTGTAACATTTCATGACTAGACATGGTGACAGCACACTCGAGTTATATCAACATATTTTATGCCGCCACCAACGCAGAGGACGAATGCAGGACAAAACAATATATAATATACTCATTTTCACTTGAGTTAAGTGAGGAAAGTCATGTAAAATGCCCTTTCCCAAGGGCACAAGATCGGTGGCATGTCAGGACTCGAACCCGAGACCTCCTGGTTCAGAGTAGAGCACTCTGCCGCTACGCCACACGACCCCACAGCTGCACTTTTGCTTTGATAGTGTGTAACGATGTACATTGTCTAAACGACTTAAATTTGACTTCACCTTTGCCCTGGCGGTCAATTGCGAACGCCAATGATATGGTCTCAACGGTTGTAAACTTGTCCGGGTGAGCCGAATAGATTTGCGACAGGCTTCTATCCGGTCAACTTTACCCCAATAGGAACGCTCCCAATCCGGCTCGGTTCCACTGATCGCTAGTCTAATAAGGCTCGATCCGGACAATTTTATCCTAATGGGAAAAGGGCCCTATTAGTCTATTCAAGCAGAAAACAATCTTACACACCGTAATTGTTCCGATATGCGAAAATTTGGAGGTATGTAAAGGATAAATTTGCAGCTTCTGTCCATTGGCCGGTACTTAAACATTATATAAATAACATTAACAAACATACACAAAAAGAATTGTGATCCAAATCTTGTCCTAACTTTACCTTTGCAGATATTGACGAGTGCGACTCGGCTCCCTGTCAGAACGGAGGCACCTGCACGGACGGAGTCGACTCCTACACCTGCTCATGTCCCAATGGGTTCGACGGAGACAACTGTGAAATCGGTACGAGGCACACCTTTTTAACATTTGCCCTCCCCCCCCAAAAATAACAAGTTCCTTTAAAAGAGCACCTATTTTATAACGCCACATAGTAAGCAGCAAAGTACAATGTCAGTAACAAACATAACGGTACAGGAGTGATTTGCACAGCCCCCTCCCTTACCCAAGGTTGAAAAGACACATATTGTGTTAAATAATCGGTGGGAGTAACTGGGCGGTATGTGGAGGAATTCAGGAAATAGTAAGATATATCTGATTGAATTACATAATACAATCACCTCCAGTCTCGGTACATTTGCGGCCGGACACCTGAACACTTTTCGGTGGTCTGTGAACTTGAAGGTCTATAAAAAACCCTGTGTACTCGTCCATCTTTTTCGAGTTTTAAAATCTCGTTTGTTTGAATTACCATCTCAAGAAATCGTTGTTCACTTAATTTAGCAATAATTGTTTTTCTAGATGGGTCTAGAAATGTTTTTAGTAGTAACGCTAAAAGTATTGATAGTATAATTATGTATATTTTTGATAATCGTACATGTGAAACATTGTTATGCACCTTTTTCAGATGTGGACCTGTGCAACCCCCATCCCTGCCCTGCCAACTGGCGCTGTGACGACTTCACCTACTACTTCACGTGTACAAGTAAGTTACTGTTTTATCCTTTCCTACTTTCTTCTGTAGGAAGACCTATTACTGTAACACCAGTCCATGTCCTGTCTACTGGCGCTGTGGCCACTCCGCGCGTACTACTTCTCCTGTACAAGTGAGGGTCTTTCCCTGTCCTGAGACCTACAAGTAGCGATGTGATGATGATCAGGGGTGCCAAAGAATTCATACGAATTGTGCGGGATTCATACGAATTTTACGGAATACATACCATCCATTAAAGTATAAAGTTAATTTTTACACCATCCTTTACTAGAACATACGAACTTTACGGAATACATACGATCCATTACGCGGAAACATACGATCCTTACTAATTTGGTGACTTGCGCTACGCGATCACGTTCCACCGATTCTCAGCCCCTAGAATACAACTATGTCCCCAATGAAGCCTGCATTGAATAACGTAAATTTCGTATGAATTCTTTGGCACCCCTGTTGACAGTAGGGCAAGCCTGTTAGGTGTCTTTAGGCTAGCTAGGAATAAACGCTTCAATGTTGATTTCCCCCATAGTCTTGTATTTGCGTACTTGTACGTCTTCACATTGACATATGGTGTCAGTCATGATTTTTAGTCGAGGCAAACGTGCTGGTTGCCAGCTAGTTCGTCCTTGTTGTTCTTTCAGAGCCGGAATTGCATGCAGATCTCAAGATAAGAGCGGACATTCTGAAACGCTTTCAAAATCTGTGCAACACCCTGCGGCAACCCTTGCTTCTGCCACCGCCGCCACCAGTGTAGCGACCCGGCGGCATCAGAGAGGCGTCCACGGCCGATTTCCCCCTTCAGTATTCGATGCGGCCAATCTTTCCGGCTCTTCCAAAAACTCAAGGACGATTACTACTGACAACTACATGTTCGCCTTACTATAGTTACTCTTAGGTTGTGTGAGATATGATAGTATTTACGTTTTTTTTTCTCATCCCTTAAAGGTCCCGGCCGTTCCCTGGGCGAACCAGTACACGACTGTACGGACTTGAACTGTCCTGCCGGCTTTCTGTGCCTGGAGAACGAAGGGTCCTCCTACCTCTGCATGCCGGAGTAACAGCGCCACCTCGCGATCGGATGCAGTTACTACAGAGACGTCTTACATTCTGACATTAACTTACGTACTCGTTCTCTGTATTTGACTGGATAGCCGCAACAAGAGTAAAGATTTATGTATGTATGAAATTAGTATCAGACGCAAAATAAATGAGCATATCAGAACAAATTTCTATGTCTTGACTTTCCTTTTGATACTAAATATTCGTTACTTGACATCGTAGTCTAGTGTAGAATTAAATAGCATCGGACGTTGGTAATCAAATAATGGTCCAGATTGACGTTGAAAGTGTACTGAACTAGTGACTAGTAGTACTCTGTAAGCCAACGACCGCCGTGTCTCTATTCTGTGTAGGTGGACAGATTTCAATCAATGCTGTCGGGGGTGAAGTATCTACTCCTGTAGATAATAGCTATTCGTCAAAGTCAGTGATTTCATTGTAAAAGTAGATTAAAATGATAACGTGTAGTAGTAATCATCCGTCGACGTCTCCGCTGAAGTTTGCTTGAAATCTACCAGTACAGTGTCACTTATATAACTGAAATCATTTGACCTTCAGCCAGAGCGTATGGCACGTATACATATGGACAGTATATATTATATATATATCATTGGGGACGGATTCAGCTACTTGTATTTCTGTTCATCGTTACTGAAAGCATATAATCGAACCTCGCGAGAAGAATGCTTACTACAATGTATATACTAACAAATTGCCGACAAAGTTCCAAAACATCGTGTACGCTTGAGTTATGCATATAGCCTTTGGACAAAGGCAGCCAGCACCTATCTGCTTGACTAAAGACACTCGAACTCCACTGTCACTGAATAAACTCTAAAGACCTTAGATACGAAGGCACGAACTGGAGGAATTCCAACGTCATACACTGACAAGAATAATGATGAAGGCGTCCAGGCGGCGCTCCTGGGCAGCAGCTAGGGTCCAGGACTCAGCTCCATACAGGAGAATGGCTAGCGCAAGGCTGTGTTGTACAACCGGAGTGTCATTTGGTGTGAGAGGATCGTGCTAGACCAAACACTGTTGAGGCTTGACATTGTGGAGACTATATGACCCCCCACTCCAGGGGTGTGGTGGGGGGGGGGGGTTTGGCGTAGTGGCTGCCACGAGAATGATCTTATGTATTTGACCAGAGATTTTATTTAAGCCATGATTTTTACGCTACGTTGTTACTTACCAGTTGTGAAATGCTCACACACTCTTGCTCATACACTCTACTGTTCCCAATCTGGAAAGTATAAAACTTCACGGAGAATTGTCGCCTATGACTACTTGTTTATTTTGAGTTTGATATCATAATTCCATACATACATAGATCTCTGTTGCATCTAACCATGCAGTTAAACACAGACTAAAAGTACGTTTTTTACTTCCTAAGTTCATACCAGAAGGCGGGTAATATTGTGCTTAATAAGTGCTGTGACCTTATGCAAAGTTTGTTTGTGGTATAGTACATATCCATGTAGGAAAACAGACACCAATACATTAGGGAGGTGGTCACGCAGTACTGACTTTCGCCAAAAAATAGATAAATAAGAACAATGAAATGACCCTCATAATATAGATAGATATGCCACCTATACTTCAGCATAACCATCATTATTGCAAATGCCTGGCACTTCTGTCGTATTAGACAGATACTACACGAAGCTTTTTAGTACGACTGAATAATATATATATAATACGTTAGTGCCCTGCTTAATTTCGAGGGATGGCACAGATTTCGAAAGGCTTCGGAGAAAACACGAGCCCAAAAATGCCCTCAGTGTCCGGTGTTGGAGCGCCCTCTGGCAGCTTGAAAGTGAACCGCTGCAAGAGGGAAGTGAAGAAGAGGAACAGCTCGAACTTGGCCAGCTGTTCTCCGAGGCACCTCCGGGGACCTGGTGCAAAAGCAAATGACATGCATATGTCTGCGATCTAAACTATTGAAGCTACGAGAGTACTATATTTTTATTATTAATTTTACACAGTAAAAAAACATGAAATGAGAACATACTTAGTCTAGTAGTTTGCTACAAAAGAGTAAAGGATAAAAAACGTTAGCAATTTAGCGTATGCTTAGGAGCAATTCATGTTAAAATACAGAATACAGTGTGGACAACGCATGGTGCACTTGTATGGAGCCCCGAACGTGGAAACACTCAACAAAAGTACGCCAATATAGGATCGACTCGTCTGTCCTTTATATTAGGTATTTTAAGGGGTGCGCTCAAAATTTCATTGCATGGTGTGTTGTATTGTGCTGTATATTTGCAATAATTTGAAATATCTTCTCCAGAATAGAATTTCATTCCAAGACAAAATCTGTCTCACATGCCTCACCTATGCTGAACGGTAAAAATGACTCTGTCCCCGGTGCCAGCTGCCCGTCGGCGTCCAGGAATCGGGTCGGGTCGAACCTCTCCGGATCGGGCCAGTACTTCGGGTCCATGTGGAGAGACCACAGGTTGGGCAGTATGAAGGTGCCGGCGGGGATCTGTGGCCCAAAAAAAAGAACAAGTGTAAAAGGAGGGTGTCATCGTACAAATAAAGTAAATTACAGCTCAGTATACTTAAAAAAACTTTTCATCGACAAGATGTCAGTGGTCACCTGATGTCCCAAGATGGTAGCAGGAGCTGTGGTTTCGTGAGGGACAGAGGAAGGAGCGATGGAACGAATCCGCTGGGCCTCACGTATGGTCGCCTCCGTGTAGGGAAGGTGGTCTCGCAGCAGCATAGACGGGGTCTGTTGGGATATTAATACGTTGTGGTAGACCATAACGACACGTTTTTTGTTCCTTAGCAAAAGGGACTTTTTTTTTAATTCCAGGGCCCTGGCGGGCAAGAAACACGACCAACGACCATCATGTTTTTGATACTGTGAAAACTACTCTATCTGTAACGTTACCTGTTTTCCAAGCGCCACATCGATCTCATCCTGTACTTTACGCTGTACATCCTGGTTCATAACCAGGTACAGTAGGGCCCAGCGGAGCGTGGTGGCGGTGGTGTCAGATCCTGCCAAGAAGAGGTTTTTGATGACGTTGATGATGTTGTCCTCTGGCAGTTCGGTCAAGATCCTGTTCCCTGTTGATTGAAGGCAATAGTTTAAAGATGGGAGATGGGATCTTATCACAATGCTACATTCATAATCTCGTGAATGTTGTAGAGTCTAATGTTTCTCACCATGATGCTCCTCCAGCAGGAAACCATCGATGACGTCCCTGATGTTGTTCGGGTCAAAGGTCTCCCTGTGCTCCTGGATGCCTTCGATGACGAAGCTGCGAATCTCCTCGCTGCACGTCACCACCTCCTCCATCTTCCGCCTGATAGACGGGACGTGCCGCAGGATTGGGTAAACGTTCAACGCCTGGGAATACAGACAAATTACTAAATGTTGAGTACCAGTAGAAGCTATGCTAACAGGCTACGAGCATGGTTAAAGACGATTAAGATGCAGCCTTAGTGTAGCGTAGAATTACAAATATTCAGAGTTGTGAACAATGATTAAGTGATGATTGTACCTGAGCTGACGTATTTGACCGGAAGTATCGATTTTGAAGCTCCATTAGGCGACAGAAAAGTTCGTCGTCATGGTTGAACCTCCGGCCGAACACAAGGGAACAGATCACGTTGGAAGCCGCGAGACTTAGAGGTACTGTTGGGTCGAACGGCTGGCCCTGTTTATCCTTGAAAACTTGGACCAGATCCTGCGCCTCCTGCACGATGGTCGGCTCCAGACTCTGCTTCCCTGCCCCGAAGGCGTTGAGCCAAGTCAGAGCCACCTTTCGGGTCTCCTTCCACTCGGGACCGTAGGGGGCAGTAGCAACACCTGGTGAAAATGTAAAAGACGATAGCATCTCAGATTGAATTTCTATCGAAGATTGCAAACCCTTTTCTTGACAGAAGGTCCTCTCCTCTTGAAGATTTTAATCTTAAGCAACGAACTTTACTTTCTTTCAATAGAATTGAAAATCAGCAATCCATTACATAACAGTTATCCCAAGTAACTTCAATGTTCACCATAAGAAATACCGTATACGCACGTAATATATACCGTTATTATTGCGGATTGAGTTTTAGTTTTGATTGTAATTTTGAGGCGATTTGTTAACTACGAGCTGCAGTCTGGTGGCAGCAAGTAAAAAGCAATCAGGCTTGACCACTAGTTTTCGGTAAACAGCATTTAAATCTTCTGTACAGGGGTTTTGCAAGTTGAAAACAGACACTTAACTCGCTTCATCAGATAATTAAGAATTGTTACCTTTTCCTCTGGTGCGTATTGTTTGTCTCCACAGGAACAAGTCTGGACGAGACGAAAAGATGTCGCCATGTTTCTGCAGAGCTTCTTTCACAGCGTCCTGTCCGTTCAGCACGACTGCGGGCCGAGGGCCGAGCCACACACTGCATAGTTGCATAGTTTAATGCAGCTTAGTAAATAATAGTGTGTGGTACATAAACGATGCAAGGTTATCCCTGCTAAGCGATAGATCTCATTTTGTCTAATAAGGCACAATGCTACTAAGTTAGTGAACGTGTGACTAGACCTATCTCGACCCACACCGCCCCACTCCAGCCCAGCCCCAAATTTTCGACTAGTTCTACTAATTAATCATCATGATAAATACGACTAACGTCAACATCAGATCATGGAGTTAGAACCTCCTTGATCAGATCATGTTGTTTTTCTACCTCCTTGATCAGATCAGTAGTGTCTGGTAAGTCAGTACTCAGCAGTAGTGGCGCATTTACTTACGTAAAGATGTCGCCATATTTGACTCGCCATTCAGCGAACACTCGATGTTGTCCCCGGGCGAGATCGCGCAGGTTACCGACGATCGGCCAGGCACGAGGCCCTGGTGGGTATCTCCTCTTCAGCCTGAAGTTTTGGATGTACAGAAACACTCCAAGCAGTGCCAAGGCTGTAACAAGCAGCAGTTCCATTTTGCGTCTATTCTTTTAGCAGCTGTTCAACAAGTGAGAGTAAATGTTTGCCTGCTGATTTTCTAAAGACGTTGGGATTCCTGCCGCCAGTGCCTGGGGCGATATTCTCTCTAGCCAGAGGTTTGGCTTTCGAATGACGTGTTTTTAAGCATTTGTATTGGGCTTTTTTACTGGTATGTTTTATAGTGGCGTTTATATGCCTTATGTTGGCTTGTGGATACGTACTGCCCTGCTAACTCTGTTGTCTTATTTTTCAGACACTACATGCATAAGACCTACTTGGAGATTAGGGCGATTACTAGAAGATCTAGTGGATTGACAACAGAACGTTTTCCGTGCACATACTGGGAGTTTTGACAATAGACCATAGCTGAAACGTAGACTGTGTTTTAAAAACTCTATAGGCAAGTTGTTATGTATCAGTCTGTTTAAGAAGACCTTGGTCATCATGTGCTTTAGCTAAGATGAACAGACATGCAGATAGCTGAGTCGGCCTTCAGTGCTATTGTCTCCACGTGGTCATGTGAAAGCGCTCTGAAGACTGGAGGTCAGGTCAGGTGAGGTGAAGTGAGATAAACTAAGGTTATATAAGGTGACGCAGCATCTTTCAATAGAGTCGGACAAGAGCTGCTATGTATCATTATCAATTTTTGAGAACTAATCCAGGTCCTTAATCGTTATATTTCATGTAGTCTAGTCTCATTGAATTGGCGTTTTCAACGCAATTACGTTTGATATGTAGTCAGCTAAAGGTGCAAATGCATGCTTCACCAGCGAAGAGTTCCTATCTGCCTACCCAGGCCAGAGACACCGACAGACATGGGCTATTTCCTTACTGACTACAACTACTAAAATTACATCCTTTTCACTACACAACATCTGTGAATAAATCATTATATTAAAACGTCTGATACATGTACCATTTAATTCTAGATATAGAATGTGGACTAAGATGTCAAATAACGGGTCTTGAGTGTAAAGGAAAGACGTCCAAGACATAAAGAATTTTTTTCTTATATGTTTATTTTGCGTTCCATACTTCATAATTTCATACATACATAGATCTGTTGCATCTAACCACGCATTTAAACATAGACTAAAAGTACGTTACTAAGTTCATACCAGAAGGCGGGTAATACTGTGCTTAAGTGCTGTGACATTATGCCAAGTTTGTTTGGGGTATAGTACTAGTATATATCCATGTTGTTAAGAGAACAGACACGAATACATTAAGGAGGTCGTCACGCAGTACTGACTATTACTAGTATTAGCAACTTGAACGTTTCAAGCGAAGCTGTAAGGTGCTTCACCATGTATCTTAACGCTTAGTTAGCAAAGCCGTCACAGTTTTGCTAAGCGTTTCGATACATGGTAAACCACATTACAGCTTCGCTTGAAACGTTAACGTTAGTTAGTACTGCGTGACGACTATGTATTCGTGCCGGTTGTCCTAACTACATGGATATATACAACCATATACATGTACTATACCACAAAGAAACGCAGAAGGTCACAGAACTTGAGCACAGTATTATATGCATTCTGGTATGAACTTAGTAACGCACTTGTAGTCTGTGTTTGACTGCGTAGTTAGATGTTAGAGATCTATGTATGCATGTATGTATGAAATTGTGATATCAACCCAAAATAAACGAGTATATAAGAACAACTTGCCATGTGTCTTGGACTTTTTTAACACCATGGTCTACATCTAGAATTAAATGGTATCAGAAGTTTTGTCATAATTATTTAGATAGGGCGGTTGAAAGTATACTGAAATGGAATTAGTTACTGAGCTGTAGATAGTAAGCAAAAAGCAGTAGCAAGCAAACGGCCTGTGTCCCTGATCTGGGTCAGCAGACGGGTTGCCGTCAGAAATGTTAGGCGGTGAAATATGCTGCACGTCCAGCTAACTACACGTCAAAGGATGATTTCATTGGAATCGCAAAAAAAAAAGAACAATGAAACGGGACAATCATTTACGAGATAGCATATTAAAAATAGAGAGCTACAGCTGCTGAATTAAAATCGACGGTGACATGTAGTGGCAGTCGCCTGTCTGGCTCTGTTGAAAAGGGTTCAGGTTTAGCCTCTACCAGGCTTGGGGAGGCGGCTGGAAAGATGAGAAATAAGCATGCCAAGGGAGTTTGCACCCCGGCGAACTGTTCTCTCAACGGACAAACTCCTTTGGCATGCGTATTTCTCTATTTGGCCGATTTCTAATCTTTCCAGCCGCCTCCCCAAGCCTGGTAGAGGCTAGTTCAGGTTACCATTCTACCCGACGAGGACAGGGTCAGCTCAGATCAGCTCAGCTGACCTGGCCTTCAGTCTACAGAGCGTTTTCACATGACCTCGTAGAGACAATAGCAGTGGAGGCTACTTACAGTGTTCATCCATGCTGAATCATATTCGGACCAAGGTCTTCTTAAGCAGAAGGATACATGAAAAGTTGCAGATAACGTTTTAAAAACACTGTGTATGCTTCAGCTACATGTATGATCTATACAATGGCTTGAGCTATGGTCTAGTATATAATCACTCCATTCTCCAAGTAGATCTTTTAGTGATTGAAGAACGGTATCAAATTAACAGGACAGTATCATTGAAATGACAATATCCAATACGCCACCCAACGAAAAGCCATTAAAATTGCCTCTAAACACGTCAAAAATAACCCAAAACATAAACATCTCCTTTGAGAGAACAACAACAACAAAATACCGCCCCAGGCACTGGTGGTAGAACGTCCTTCGAACATAAATAGGCTGTGAGGCAACACTTTACACTCACAGACCTTTTGGGCAGCTGCTCATATATTAAAAGCAACATGGAGTTGTTGCTTGTTGTAGCCCTACTGCTTGGAGTGTTTCTGTACATCCAAAACTTCAGGCTGAAGAGGAAATACCCACCAGGGCCTCGTGCCTGGCCGATCGTCGGAAACCTGCGCGATCTCGCCCGAGGACAACATCGAGTGTTCGCTGAATGGCGAGTCAAATATGGCGACATCTTTACGTAAGTAAATGCTCCACTACTGCTGAGTACTGACCTACCAGACACTACTGATCTGATGTTGATATTAGTCGTATTTGTCATTATGGTTAATTAGTAGAACTTGTCGAAAATTTGGGCTTGGACTGGAGTGGGGCGGTGTGGGTCGAGCTAAGTGGGACCCGGTACCAAAACTAGTCACACGTTCACTAAATTCAGTAACATCATGCATTATTAGACAAAATGTGGCGATGTCAGTTTTAGAGTCCCTAAATGCTAATTCTGTCACATTCACCATTTCTCACCATGTATTTTTTACGTACTACACACTTTCATCTACAAATCTGTTTTGAACTGTGCTGACTATGCAGTGTGTGGCTCGGCCCTCGGCCCGCAGTCGTGCTGAACGGACAGGACGCTGTGAAAGAGGCTCTGAAGAAACATGGCGACATCTTTTCGTCTCGTCCAGACTCGTTCCTGTGGAGACGAATAGTACAGACCAGATCTAGAGGAAAAGGTAAGAATGCAACCTAACCGGATGAAGAGAGTTAAGTGTCTGTTATCAACTTGCAAAACTTCTGTATTGAAGATTTGAATGTTTTAGGCGGATTACTACTAGACAACCGTGTCAGTTTTTTTTGACTGACTGCCACTAGGCGAAAACTTTAAGTCAAGAACCCGCTTCAAAAGCACAATTAACGTATAATAGGCAATGCTTTAGGAACCTATACCTATACCACAAAAGTGTATACATCATTGCTTGACTGAACAGTTACTATCGTAAACATTGAAATTCTTTGGGGTGACTGTTTCAATGTGATTGGTTGCTGATTGATCCTTCTATGAGAGTCAAGGCCGTTGCAAGGTTCAAAGCTTCAAGAAGAGAGGACCTTCTGTCAAGAAAAAAGGCTTGTCAAAAGGTTTCAGGTTACCTTTCTAGGACAGGGGACAGGGTCACCTTAGATCACCTCAGCTGACCTGGCCTCCAGTCTACAGACCGTTTCACATGACCTCGTAGAGACAATAGCAGTGGAGGCTAATTACAGTGTTCATCCAGTGTTCATTCAGTGTTGAGATGGAATTTGCGATACGTACACTATCGTCTTTTACGTTTTTACCAGGTGTTGCTATTGCCCCTTACGGCCCCGAGTGGAAGGAGACCCGAAAGGTGGCTCTGACTTGGCTCAACGCCTTCGGGGCAGGGAAGCAGAGTCTGGAGCCGACCATCGTGCAGGAGGCGCAGGATCTGGTCCAAGTTTTCAAGGATAAACAGGGCCAACCGTTCGACCCAACAGTACCTCTAAGTCTCGCGGCTTCCAATGTGATCTGTTCCCTTGTGTTCGGCAGAAGGTTCAACCACGACGATGAACGTTTCTGTCGCCTAATGGAGCTTCAAAATCGATACTTCCGGTCAAATGCGTCAGTTCAGGTACAAACCATGCATCTTTACTACTCTGAGTGAATACTACACTGAACGTCGTATACCAAGCCTGTTAGTATAGCTCCTACTTCTAGGACTCTACATTAAGTAATTTCTTTGCTTTCCAGGTCCTTAACGTTTACCCAATCCTGCGGCACGTCCCGTCTATCAGGCGGAAGTTGGAGGAGGTGGTGACGTGCAGCGAGGAGATCAGCAGCTTCGTCATCGAAGTCATCCAGGAGCACAGGGAGACCTTTGACCCGAACAACATCAGGGACGTCATCGATGGTTTCCTGCTGGAGGAACACCAAGGTAGGTGGTCAAAAGACAACCCATACACATAGCGTTTACAGTAGTTACTGAATGACGGTGTTTATCGTTTGTCACTAGTTACTGGGCTTACATATCATCCCTGTCTCCTGAGAGGAACGCCGTTGATAGTTTGACTAGATGACATCTATGGTCAGAGAGTTGCACTGACTAGGTCGAGTTACATTCAATTTGACTGACGCGAGAGTTGCATTGACTCACTCGAGACTGTCCGACATTCGGTTGATCCTCCGAAATCTGACAATTTCATCATCATTATCGT